ATTGGTGCGATCCTATTTTTACCGTATCGGAAGGATGAGCGCATCAATGAGGACGGCACAATGGATAAGATTGCCTGCCAATCCGGCGATATGTTCGGGATTGGTGATTGCATGTAACCATTGTTGGCTTACCACTTCCTAGAAGAGATCAAATAAGAATGTACTTGCACATGTCTGATAACACCAGTGATCCTTGTGGATAACATGCAGGTGCTATAAAAGCGTGATTAGCGCGGTAGGACTCATTTTGGTGCTTTGGACTAACCGGTACACAAGTCCCCTGACGCCATGATCGAGCTCGTGCTCTTTGGAGTGTTCGTTCTTGTCACGCAAGCGATCCTGCTCTGTGGAAGAAAGAAGGCCGGTGCAGAAGCTGGAGCTGAATCAGCGGAACCCGCGTCTGAAAAGAGTGCTACTGATGCTGATGAGAAAGGAAAGACCGAACGCGTGAGTTTTCGGGCATTTCAAAAACCTGGCAGAAAGTGAAGGGGAGGTTTTGACACGTCCGAGGGATACCATCCAGATGAAGCTCTTAGGGTAACGAATGATTCTAAGGGTAACCTTTCGGAAGGTCTCTACCACGACACAGGAACTGAGCTTCTGGTACACTTTTGGATAGGGGTCAGCACCACCTATGGTGGATAGAATGACCTTTCCCTCAAGAGCGTCGGGACGGGGTAGAGCCTGCCGGAACCGGGAGAGGATAAGCTTTAGGATGCTAGGTACGTCACCTTGAAGCCCACTGGGAGAAGTTGACTTCTCTGGATCACAGCTCCCATCCTGTTGAGCCTGAGCAGCACCCATGAGGAATGTACGATGGTTATCTCTCTGCCCCTTGCGGAATGTGCTTCAAACTAGACTGAAACCAGCCCACAGTGGTTCAGGGTGACTTGACGGCGCCAGTGTCCACGGTAGACCACTCATGAGAATCTGTAAACCATGGCCTGGGATAGTTTCCTCTGCTAAACCACTTTCATGGACCAACGCCCTTCAAAATGAACTATAAGTGTAAGCAGAAGAGATAAAGATCGGTATCATAACTGCTACAACCGCGATAATGATCGGTGGTGGGTGCTATCGCTGTTCGTGGTAGCAACGGGTGCAAGGACTAGGGGAACTCGTCCACAACGTGTCATGACACATCATAGAACATGTTCTAAGCATCTGCCGATGCGATAGGTTGCCAGATGACATGCCAAGAACACATGGGTTTGTTATCGTCTAAGCAAAGTCCGTATAACCATTGCTACCGCGAAATGCGATAGCATCCGGTGAAGTGATAAGCGATCACAGTTCATATCGCTACAATCCAGGGAAGCCATGGTGTATGTGGCAAGACAATCGTAATCGCCGCGCTGGTGTGGTCGCGTGCGATGTCGACGTCGCGCTCGACGAAACGAGTTGTCCTACCTGGCCATTTGAAGTGTTGAATGGCACGGGAAACGCCCACGTTATCATTACCCTCGAGCTCGGTCCCTGCATCTTCTGCGGTGATCGGATGACTGGACAAATGGAAAGAGTGACTATTGTGCCTTCGTCCTTTATGTGTACCCCTCCTAGAACAGTAAAGGGGAAGGCATGACTGCTCCAAGCCCCTGCGCATTTTCTCGCCTTCAGAATAGCACAGAATAGACCTTCAACGCGTGAGCAGAGAATTCCTCGTCGCTTCCTTATGAAACTCCACAATCTAAAAAAGATATCGCGCGTATCGTATAAAATGGCGATCTACAACGATGCACAGGAACGATACCTTCATACTCCAGTGATGGAGTGAGGAGGGGGGGGGGGGCGCGGACCGGTACTTCACCCAAACACGATTTTCTTGGGTTCGGTGACTATCGCCGGACCGGGCTGTCTGTATGGTTCTGCTATGAAGTTCATGCACTCCAGATAAGAGTTGGGTCAAGCCAATCGTGAATTCGGCTGCCCTTTTGGGCGTGTGGCACCAACGATGTCGCATGCTGCACACTGCAAGTGGGCAGTTCGCAGCCTCGTAAACTATATTTTACCGTCAGTTATGGACCGTGATCGATATCCGTAACTCTCGTGTCAGACATGCTACTCAAACTGCCGCACACATTGCCGCTTTACGCGCCGACGCGCCGCGCGCGGTTGCGCGATTGTCTTGACCGTTTCTCCAGAGACAGAGAGAGAGAGAGAGAGAGAGAGAGAGAGAGAGAGAGAATGAGAGAGAGGGAGAGAGAGCAGGCAGCGGCTGCCAACGCATAGAAGGTACGAAGACATTTGTGGAGCTCGTGGAGCTGGGGTTGAGTTTCTGCAAAGGTGGGGACTCCGGGGTGGGTATCCCACCACGGGCTTATCATGCATTAAAAGTACGAATTTCATCAGGTCACAGGCGAGAGAGCGCTGAGAAAAGCAGAAAATTGACAGGGGTTGGACTCACTTTGTCCTCAGACCTTTTCAAAGAATATTTTCATCCTAGACAACTGAAATCTTGTCTTGCGCTGGACAAAGACATAATTGCAATTGGCTCAAAATGGCAGTATCCCACCTTAAACGCAGCTGCTGCCATGTACAAATGAAGTACGCAGCCACGCCCTACCCATCTTTGGGATAAGGGTGGATCAGGAAAGGGCAGAGGACATGAATTTGAATCAGACTAATCTAGAGAAACTAATATGATAGCATTTTGCAGGTGCTAGACAAGTCCAAACTGAATCCATTCATCAACAACATGCAAATCGCCGTCCGTGATCCCATTATCAACCGTGCGATGCAACTTGAACTCGAGATGCAGGAGAAGCAGGTAGCGATTGCCTTGTTGTCGAGGAAAGGTCACACCTTGCCGTTATATTGCTTTTGCAGACGACCGACAAGCCATTCAGAAACATCATCCGAGCCAACATTGGCGACTCCGAGGCAATGGAACACAGCAGTATGACCTTCAATAGACAGGTAGGTCTCACAGAAGAGACACTTCAGGAAGAGAAATAGCAGCAGTTGTGTGGCCTTT